AACTTTCATGTTTTGGAGATTTCCAAATTCTATATGGAACTAGGTTGAAAAACCCTTCCAAGTTGCTGAAAAAACCACTTAAAAAGGGTAAATAACTTAGAATTTTTCTAAGTTATTTCCCTTCTTAAAATGAATCTTGTCATAACTCCAAATCTATGCATTTTTTGATCATGGACCACTTTGAGGCTTTTGTAGGATTTGTCAAGAGCTTTCCAATGAGCTTTGAACCACTTCATTTGGATGTGTGGTTGAGGAGTTATGGTCTTGCCCCTTTCGAAACCCTAATTCCCAATTTTTGCAATTACTTCTTAACCCTTGATCCAATGGTCATGAAATTTTATGGGGAGGTGTAATATGACATAAGGAATATTTTGATTCACATCTTGAAGTCAAATTCCTTATTGTTGAAGAGTTAACTTTTCGGTCAACCGTTCGATCAATCGGTGACTACCGAGTCGACTGTCGATGATCCGAACATTCTGAGGACTTGAAACTCTTTGGATAGGCTTTACTAAGCCATAGGAGCTTAATGGACCTTGATCCCACCACTGAAACACTCTTCAAATCAAAAGTCAAACTACAATTGACTTTTCCTAATCGAAAATCCTAATCGGGTATCTTGAACTGCACTGTTCTCAATTCTTGGGTGACCACCTCAAATTGAATTCATACTTGACCCAATGTTATATTCTTGATCTTGTTTGAAGTTGAATCAATCTAAAACATTGATTTATCAAACCCTCGAAGCCTCGATTTTGACGGTACGGAACCCTAATTCATCTGCATCTTGACAAAGATAAAACTTGAAATGAGTTAAGGTTAGTTAATCAAATGAATATGATCCTAAAATGATGATAAGGATCTAAGGGGTCAAAAATTGGGGTGCAACAATGCCAACATAATACTTTTGTCTTAGCTCAAACATAATCTCAGAGACTTTTAACTTATCCATGAATTTTCTTTTCTCAACCACTAATTCGGAAACCCACTTTAAATTGGCAGATCAGTTATCTAAAACCCTAGCACATGTATGTGTCCCCACCCATGTTTTTAATTTGTAGGTGTGTCTGTCACCAACTTTACTACACAATACTAAAAACTCACATTTTGCCCCTATACTCTACCCTAACCCTATAGCTTTCATTCTTTACAAACTTTATCTCCCTACCATTAAGAACAGACCACTATCTTATAGAATCTTTAAATTCACTTAATGAGGTAAATTTCATGCCAAGTTTGAACTGAAAAGCTTTGTTCATCAACTCACTTCTGAACTGCTCATACTTAGTGAGCTTTTCATCACCACTGCCATCATGATCAGAACTATCTAATTCTTCACTTTAATCGTCCTCAATGTCTCTTGGTATATTATTGGGTAACCTTCTAGAACTAGAGTCCAATATTTTTGCAGGCAAAATTAAATTTATCTTAGAGTGGCCCCATTGCTTCTCTTGGTTTTTTTAACCCTTACTTTGCATCTTAAAGACTTGCCATTAACATCAACCCTTGTACCACTAGTTGGTTTTTTCACCACAAAATTCACAAACCCTTCATTATTTTCCCTCGTTCTTTCTTCCTCACTATCATCAAACCTAATGCATCCAACTTCATCATCACTACTATAACCATTATCATTACCTTCATTGAATTGAACAACAATAGAACTTATAACATTGACCATCGTATCTTCAACTTCATGCTTAACCCATATATGGCCATCAACTTTGTTATCAATGATGTGTTTGGCAATTGCTTCAGCTAGTACGTCATCAATGACATGAAAAAACCCTTCATCAATCCCTGGGAGTTTTATCCACAACCTAAATCCTCATATTCCCAATCCTTATCATGCACAAAGTTACCCACGTGATGGAAGATGACAGTGAATACGCCCATATTCTACGATTACAAAATACATAATGGTTAAACTAGGGTTATTGGGGTATAATAGATATTACCACGACGAAAGTTAAATAGTCTTACTGCAATAAAGTATGTTAATAAATGTTAAACTAACACGCATGGTATTGGTTGGGACCACTGCAAATCGTACCTTTTTGAAGTAAATTAAACAAAAGAGCAAATCGTACTTTCTTGAAGAACAAGCAACACAACAAATGCTCCACTTGCGTTGATTGTTTTTGAAGCACGAATCTCAGGCTTGAATAGGTAGAAGATAACGAGCAATTTGAATGAAATGGGAGAAGACAATGAGTTTATGCGTGAAGAGGATATGCAACTGGGGGGATAATTTTAAATGTGGACAATATATAAGCGAATAACATGTCTTTCACCTGAGGACAAACCTTCAACCCAATGACAAAAATCAAAAAGACCAATTGTTGAATAATATATTAAGCAACTATGAGAAAATTGTCCATATTTATCAATTAACCCCACAGTATATCGGCCGCTATCTTATTTACCAGTTCCCTCTATTGGGTTTGAAGCCACCTAGATCAAGTGTTGGTTATGTTGGTAAACAACCATGAATTACAAAATTCATTTTACTAATGTAATGCATTGGAATTTCTGCAAGAAAAATGTTGAGAAAAAAAAAAATAGCACCCATGTCATTTTACACCATAATAAATATATTAGCAGTTGAAATCTTAAAAGAAAAAAAACTATTTATATCCTACATTGGAACATGCTAAAGGAAATATCACTAATTAATTAAAAGATAAGATCAATATGTCTTTTATATCACAAAAGCTCGCCGTAAATTCTATTATTATCTTAAAGATAACGAAATTTGGCTATTAAATGGTATCAACATTCCTCCAAAATCAAAGGCAATTAATATTATAAGTATCTTCTAATGAGGCAGGTAAATATGTGTAAACAACACATGAATTATTTTCTTAACTAGACACAGATGTTGTGGTCTAATATCTTGCTAAGGAAAGATATTTGACGTCGTCACAATTGAAATACAAGTCTTTGGATTAACTCCTCTTGAGTTCATAAGCACAAAAACACATATAAAAGAGCTTGTAGGAGACATGTTTATTGAAGATATTGAACGAGCTACCATAGCCTAGGTTAAGTAGGCTAAATTTGCATTGTATGAGAAACGCACGTGGAATCTTGTTTTGCAGGTGATATGCTTTTAACAAGAACATCAACTTTTTATGATTATAACTAATGTCCAATGATAAGTCAAGCATGAAGGTCAAGGATTCTATAGGCGAAATTTTGACTTAACTAATCGATTGAGACATTTGTCTAATCGATTATCTCAGTTCAAAATTGACCCACAAACGATTGGGACAATGCCTTAATAATGTGTAACAGCTAGATATATTTTCCTTTCTTTATAAACTTACAATCGATTTGTGGTATTTTGAATCAAACTCTAGACTCGACAAGGGTAACCTCTTGGTTCGATGAGATTTTACATGTTGTAGTCGAAGTCTGATCTAACATGCAATGTCATAAGTTAAATATGTACTTTGTTATGTAATAGTTATGTACGACGTTAATTGGTATCGTTTGTTGGTGTGGTGAACATAGATCAAGATGTCATCAACGAAGTATGAGATTGAGAAATTGATCAAAGTGAATGATTTCAGTTTATAGCGCTTGAAGATGCAAGATTTTCTAGTTCAATAGAGTTTGTTAGAAGCGTTGAAAGGATTAAAGAAGATAAATGTTGCCCCAAAAGAAAAGAAAAAGACGACTATGATTGAAAAATACCATAATGTCATCATATTAAGCCTTAGTAATAAAGTTCCGACAGGTCTTAAAAGGAGAAGTAGACAGTAGGTGTGTGGAACAAACTCAAAAGATTGTATATAATCAAGTCTTTGGTCAATAGTCTATCCATGAAACAAGTTCTTCTCCTTTAATAGTTTAATAGAAAGAGTATTATAATTTAATCATATAACACTAATAATTAAAAATTAAGCAACTATAATAATTCAATGTTAACTAAATGACTAAATGGAAAAAAAAATTAATTGAAGTATTATAGTTTTTGTGTAGAAATGATTAATTTAATTTATGAATTAAAATTAAAATTAAAAACTATAATAATTGATATATGAAATTAAATTAATATAATAATAAACTATATATTATGTTTTTAATATAAGAACATTTTAATCTTTTTTTCTTAAATTAAACGCAATTCTTTCTCTTTTATTTTTCATTGCAAATCTACTATATTTCTTATCTCTTTCTCCCTTTTCACATTTTTTTTCTCATATCTTTTTCTTTTAATTTCTTCTTACGTTCAAACATACCCTTAGAAAAATATTTACAAATTACGCATCAAAAATATTCTTACATCCACAACAGAAATTTGACTCACACAAGTCAAATTTCTTAACAACTGAGTCAAACAATTGCTAATTTGCAGCAGGACTCTATATAATTAGACATATTTTGTCACTCAAAAACTTTTTAAATTAATTTTTACATTTAAAAGTTTGTTTTTTAGTAAAAACTAGGACTTTTTCCGTAAATTTTGGCCCAAAACTCAATTGACTTGGCAAGACCGAGGTCGACTAAGTCACTAAGACTTATTTTCATTAAAACACAAGGTTACGCACTAATCTGGTAGTCAGTGAGTCTCTTGTACCTCAGTGCTTCGGTAAACAAGATGAATTTCTAACAAGAACTTACTTGCCACATTGGATTAAACAAAACAGCTGTCACTAGCACCCATAGAATCTTGGACCTTAGCAGGTTTTTCTGCTGAGTATTGGTAACATAGAACAAAGAACACATATTGATTCTATATCTGTATTTAACCACTTATGACTTAATAACTAGACAGTCACATTTTACCCATAGCAGCAAAACAATTGCATGTTATCTTTTTATTTATCTTCAATAGATACAGGTGGATGAATAGAGAACTATACAGCATATCAATCCTTAAAATGCAGACAATAAATTGAAAAGGATTTCCGTATATCGGAAACAAGACATCCTCAATAAATTGTGCTATCACCCTAAGATTATTCTTTTCCATATAACAATGTACATGTAACCTATGAATTTCTCTCCATACCAGTATTCAGCAAAGCTGCTTTCAATGGAGGCCTATTTATCTTCTCAAGTAATCTACTAAATACTAACTGGACAGGTATGCAAGCGACTGTGGTCGGCCCAGAGATTTCTGGTTTAATTAATCTATCTGTTTGATAACTACTTATATCATGCAACGGATTTCTAAGCCTATGTTCAATAGATAATGAGGACAGAGTTCTAATTTTCTGGTTAGATGACAAGCTCGATTTCTTTGGTGCCTTTTTATAGAACTTTTTGTTGCCACTCTTCTTTTGGAGGCTTGCCTTATGACTAGAACTTCCGGGATTTAGTTTTTTATAATCAAAGCTTTGTTCTTGATCAAAGGAGGGAAACTCAACAGCAACTTCAGTACCATTTGATGACAATATGTGTGAGCGAGGAACACGGAAATTTGCGGTTCTCCTTGCAGTCCTCCATCCTTGTCGTAGCACACTGCTTTCCTCAAGCCCAATTCCGTCATTACTGAAATCATCAATTGCAGAAAAAAGGCTATCAGAAGAACCATCCTTAAGGACCTCAACCTGGATCGGGTGCCCTATTATTGCCTTCCCGTCTAATTTACTCATCAGAGAAATAATGGGCACAGGCTCTTTCCGGTATCCTGCTTGAACCTTCACATCTACGTTAATCAGCACCGACCTCCTCCTCCTCCCACTGACATGATAGCCATCACTGTGTGTTGGAGTAGAACCCTTAGTATTACAATATTCTTTTGAAGCAAGATGTTCATCCCAGGCCAAGTCATTCCAATTAGCACCATCATGAGTTCTATTTGGAACTTTTGATACAGCTCTCAGAGTGGGAGAGTATTCATCTTCCGATCCTAACATTTGACCATCGTCATAAAGTGCATCGCTAAAACCATTTTTTTGACAATGCAAACTTGAACCCATTCTTTTGTGACTTAAATTAGGTCTTCCATCTTCAAAATCCACTTCTGCTTCACATATAATACCTTTTCCTTCAGGGGGACCATAAGACCTCTTTACAAGATTCCGATTATTCCTTTTACCTTTTAGTTGCCATTTAGACATGTCTTCATGGCAAGATGTCAGTTCACGAGGATAGAGGTGAGGCATGTCGCTGGTGACTGCTAATTCATCAAGCTCCTCACTGCTAATGCTTTCATGTTCTTCAAAATCCCGGCCAGTTTCTGCAGTTACAGTAACATTCAAGAACCATAAAGGATGATGCAAAAGAAAGATAAAACATGTAGTCCAACAAAAAATAAATTAACCCTTTATCAAGAATGAAGTGGTGACTTTAGAACATAAAACCCTTAGATGCCCACAGAAAAATTAAAAGTGACCCCTAATTATAATTCATGAAAGCTGATTGTAACTAAAACATGCACGATCGCAACAATTAGTTCTGTTTCCCTTTTCTTGAATCTAACACCCTGGGCCTTTACAAATCGGATTGCTCATAAAATAAAATTTCAACTCTCATGAATCTTTTTCACAGATGTTGAATGCTTACATGGATCAAAATATCAAATGACGCCATAATATTTTATCATATATCATATTTTTATCCAACTCATTAATCTCTGGATCTTTGAATCTTTCTTAATGGTTTCTCTAAGAACAAGTCAAGTTACGTAAAAAAGTTTAAAAGAAGTAGATTAATGAAATGAAAGACACTGACAGAATGAAGTACTGGAATCAACAAGTGGTTTGTTATTTTTTCCTTAATCTTGTTATGTTGTAGCAAATTTATAGTATGCGTACTGTTGAGACAAGGATAGCAAATGTATGACAGAAACCTAACCTGTAAACATAGTCATTTTTGCATCCATGTCTGGTTCTGTCTCAGAAGAAACTGAATCAGAAACAGTAGAGTCTGTTTCTGAAGAGCCAAATTCAACATCCATAAAAGTTGACTCAGTCTCTCCAACCAAAGAACTGCGATAAGGAAACTCCCCTCCATGTTTTGGAGATGGCATCTCAGCAAGGTCTGGTCTCTCTATGTAATCGAGAGAATCACTAGACTCGGCTGGACAACAAAAATTCTTGCTCCTCTTTTCTCGGTGTGAAATATGCCTAGCTCCTGGAAACAGAATCATGTTCAGATTATACCCTGAAACATATTACTGATTTACACCAATTGATATAGAAATAAAGAATTTTACCATTTGTCTGGAGTGCACTCCGCGTGCAAATACCATCACTTGCAAGAGCCAGAGCACCCTTGTCGACTGAAAGATCCTGAGAAACACGTGGATCCACGGGAGATGAGAGACTCCCTTTCAAGGGGGGGATTTTAGATCCAAAACCCTGCAAGCCTCTCGTTCGAGAAGTCACATCGCAGAGATCTACTTCCATATCCCTGGCTACCTCTACCTCTAAAGGAAAACGATCTCCAGCGACTTCATTTTCACAAGGCACGTATGATATCAAATTTAAATGTTTTTCAGTACCATTTCCATTGACTTCCCCGGGCAACACTGCCATACCCCTTTTAACAGAACTAGATGATTTACAATTGGTTCGATCAGATGCAATGGCTACTTTTGCCTGCTTTTTCACCAACTGCCTCTCAAGTTCAAGAGCATGAAGAATGGCATCTTCACGGCGGGCATACTTTTCTCTTTTTTTCAAAGGCATCTCATGGGAGGATTCAACTTTTTCAATACAATCATCAAACTCCCCGCATCGGAATGCCTTGACACGTTTGGATTTCTCCAAATTGTACCAATCTCTGCAAAGAACAATAACCCATCAAATAACAGATAAAATAACAATTTAATAAAACACAAATTGCTAACTAAGAATGCTAACACACACATTAGTGATTTGTACATCTCAAATACATAAAGTCCTCAAAATAACAACAATGAAACTAATAACGATCCTAACCTCAGATTATAGAATTCTACACGGATTATGGTGGCTAACATAGTTGCAAAGACGCAATTAATCAACGAGTATAATGTAAGAAAAACATGAAAAGTGGAGTAGTTAAGTTAACAACTGAAAGGAGAAAGAGAGTTACACGCTAGCATCTTCTCTGCCGAGAAGCTTCACCGGAGTTCCTGAACGAGGAGAAGTGAGATGAGAAGTGGACAGATCATCGGTGCCAAGTATTTGACCCGGCCACCACGACCCGTTTCGCCGGCGAACCCATACGATGGATCCGACGCTGCCGTTCATTATCCGCTTCCACCCTCGTTTCTTAGGAACGAGAAGAATGAGGGTTGACGGAGGGTGGTTGTGCCTCAGGTCAGCCAACGGCGAAGGACGGAGGATCCGGGAACCGGCGGTTGAATCATGACCCGATTATTGTAAACTGGGTTAGGGCAAATGTTTTCTTTCAGATTTGGGGATTTTTATTTTTTTTTCGATTCAATTTTGATCTCTTTTACCAATTTTTTTTCTCCTCTTACACCTTGGGGTTGGGTTGAATTGTTGTGAATCTGTCGGTGGTTAAATGTTTATTATTTCGTACAAAAATATTATTTATACATGTTTATCTATTTATTAGACTTTAATTAGTATACAATTTTTTTTTTGAATGAATAAGGTCTTAGCCCTACTTTATACAGTTAATTTATGCATCAAAATTCCATTTGTATTTTTCAGGACATCCACCTGTATTATTTTTGAAGTAAATAATTGTGAAAATAACTTTTATACACGTGTAAAAAAAATTTTTTTAATAAAACGGGATTTAATGTATGTACAAAAATTATTAATTTCTTCATAAAAGTAGCTTTCTCACAATTAAAAAATGTTTAACATAAGTCATACATCTCAATTGTTTTTTTTTTCCACAATCTCACAACATCATCATGAGAAACCTCACATTTGAGATTTTTTGACGTACCTGCCCTGGTTTGAAATTTTTTATCCCACAATGCCCTATCTGAAAACTTAATTACAAGGATACCCTGGTTTAGTGTGAGTTCGTCCTTTGATTGGACGAACCAGTGAAAACAAAGAGGAAGTTCGTCCTTCCCATGGGCGAACTAGTGAAGAGGATTTTCCATGCATAAGTTCACCCATCCAATGGGCGAACATGTGAAGGAGTTGGTTTTTTTTTTGTTTTTTAATTTTTTAATTTTTTGTTAATTATATTTAAGATATATTTAAATAATATAATGTAAAAAATATTTAAATAACTTAATATAAAAACTTTTAAATAATTTAATATTAAAACTATTTATATTATTTAGTATAAAAACTATTTAAATAGTTTAATATGAAAACTATTTTATTAATTTAATTTAAAAACTATTTTTTTAATTTAATATTAAAAGTATTTTATTAATTGAATTTAAAAATTTTTTTATTAATTGAATTTAAAAACTATTTTATTAATTGAATTTAAAAACAATGTTACTAATTGATTAAATAATTTACAACAATAAAATTAGAAGATTAAATTACAAAAATTTAATTGATTAAATAAATGACATAGTTCGGTCACGGAATGACCGAACTCAGACCTAATTTTTTTGTATAAATAAGCGTATGCCAATTTACTATCATTTGTATCAAGTCATCCGATTTACAAAGATGTCTGTGCAAGCTCATGTTTTCTATGGACCTGAGAAAAAATTAAGTGTTTACCTAGATCCGCTGTGGAATTTCAGAACCGTGGTCGCAGCAATTAACACTGGGTTTCGGCAGCTGGGCGGTCGTCGCGTGACGGTGAGAAAAATTGAATATCGTTGTCCATATATAACGCTTACTGATGCTAGCCCGGAGGGGACGTACATGTACTACCTAGATCGCATAGAAAATGATGAAGATGTCCATTGCATGTTTTCAACACATAGTGGTGAAGTCAACAGAGGAGTCACAGATCCACTTGTGTTGGTCGCTGTTGTATGTTAGAGTTTATGTTAGCTTCATGAGTTTTATGTTTGTGTTTGTGGATTCACGGATCCACTTTATGTTTGTAGTTCGCTGCTGTTGTTGTAATTTGAAAGTTGTGTTGAATTAAAAATAATTGATTGATCAAATACAAAAGTAGTACAGTATAATTATCTATTCGGTCGGTTTGACGGACCGGCAACATTGGGACATTTCCTACGCATATGACCTATTTCTCTACAAATCCCACACCGTCTCTTCTCTTTTTCTACGTCGTCCATCTCAGTTCGGATTCTACTACTTTTTGGACGCCCCTTTTTATTTCTTCTCATTGAATCGTCGTGGCAGAGAGTGAAACCTTCATATTTTGGCCAATTCTCCTCGTGCGGTAGTCCCAGGAAGCTTTCCTTGTAAACCTTGAATACGTTAAGTATTGTGAAGACCTCTGGAATGTGAATTACATAGTCTTGTCGTATGCTAGAACATGCCGCTATCACGTGGGAGCAAGGCAAGTGGAACGTTTGAAATTTTCCACAGTCACACCTACGATTCCTCAAGTCAACGCTGAAAGTACCCTTTGGACGACCATCGTTGTAATTAATCTTTTCTTGCACCATGAAACAGAATCTTTCCCGATCAAATTGCATGACATTGTGTGTGTTAGCCTTGGCTACCTCCTCGGCCATCCCCTTGTTACAACCATCTGTGAAAACTTTGCCTGAAGATAGCATTTTTGTCCATTTGTGTCCTCGTTTACCAAACAGTGAACCCAATCGATAATATGTAGACTGGACTAATGCAGTGATGGGAAGGTTTCTTGTGGCCTTTAATACAGAGTTTATTGCTTCTGCTAAGTTAGATGTCATGTGTCCCCAACGTTGTCCTCCGTCAAATGCTCTAGCCCACTTCTCCCTAGGAATATTGTCTATCCAAGTTAAAGCCTCAGCGTTGGATCTTCTGATTTCTCCGCGATAATAATGAAATGAGGCCTCCGTCAATGCGTAACCTGTATCCGTCAATGCGTTAGAAAAAATGAAAAAAAAAGGGCTTATATAATTTAGATAATCGAAATTTTTTCCTTACCCATGTTAACTACTAATTTTCGTAGAACCTTGTCCTTAATCTCGCGCATGAAGTTCTGAGCGATGTGTCTTATGCAGTAGACATGCGAAGATGGAGGATTTTGCCAACCGTTTTCTGGATTGTTGTATGCACTTTTTATCGATTCATGCCTATCAGATATGAGACATACATTTGGCTGTGGTGTCACGTGTAATCTTAGGTTCCTCAGAAAAAAACTCCAGGCTTCCTTTGTTTCTCCTTCGACCAAAGCAAATGCCACTGGGAAAATATTTGCGTTGCCATCTTGTGCCACCGCCGTCAATAGAGTTCCTCTGTACTTGCCATACAACCAAGTTCCGTCTACCTGCACAATGGGCTTACAGTAGGCGAAACCATTTATACACGGACGAAATGCCCAAAACAGACGAAGGAAAGTTCTTTTTCCGGAGATCTGGGAACCATCACTTGATATGGCAGGTATGGTTTGCAAATCCATAACGGTTCCGGGAAGAAAGGTTTTCATTACCAGTAGCCACTGCGGTAGGTCGTTGTAAGATGTTTCCCAATTGCCGTAAAGCGACTCTACCGCCTTGCACTTAGCGATCCACGCCTTCCGGTAAGATATAATGTACCCGTATTTTTCTAGAATATGGGCAATGATCACTTTTACCTTAAGTGAGGCGTCGCTGTTTACAAGTTCTCTGATGCTATGGCTAACCATTTCTGAACTGAGCTTGTTATGGTCTTGTGCCATAGACGTTGTGGTGCATGTGTGAGACCCAGACAACTTACCAATCACCCATTTCGAGTTCCTTTGTCTAAATGAAGCTCTGCACTTGAACTTGCATTCTTCTTTCTTACACTTAATGACATATCGTTCATTGTCAGACTTACACACCCAATAGTCCACACAGTGTGTTATGTGCCAATGCTGCAGGGCGAGGATGCAGGCTTCCTTGTTTTCAAACTCCATACCTATATCAATTTCGTCTCCTATATGGCTTTGAATAGCATTTCCAAAGACAGAGGTTGTGTCGTCATATTCGGCGCAAATATTTTGCATGTGTGCCGGCGGGTTATACAAACTTACGGGTTGTGCGCTGATCGGTTGCGTAGACGGGACAACTATGTCTTCATCTTCATTGTCTTCGTCATCACTGTTACCAAAAATATCTTGCATTGTGATTTCCTCAAGAATATCGTCATCACTTGGTTCGCCCACCTCCTCATTGGGTATGAAAGGTAAATTATTTTGCGTTGGTTCGTCGTCGGATGTTTGGCTCATCCCGTACCAGTGTGACTGTGTTTCCTGTGTTGGAAATGTTTCGGGATTTTGTACTAGTCGGACATACACCTCAATTGTAGGTAATTGACCAAACATCATGTGGCACCGAAACATTGCCTTCACATCCTCGTTGGTTTTTATTGGCGTCATAATGTAGAATATCGTACAGTCGTTTTCATTTAGGGTGGGATGACGATAAATGATTTCCTCAACACAGCGTGCCAATTTGGTTTCCATTCTATCTTTAAAATGAAAAAAATCTGAATTGACATGAATTTTGAAGGCATATGTATCTGTATTGAAAAACGAGAATCCAATAGGAGTGTTTGTTGAAACAACACCGTTAAAATGGCATGTGGTAATTATGTTTCTCTGAGACATTTCGGATTGTAGGATTGAAGTTTTTTGAGAATGCTGAGAAGTTTAAATTTTTTTGTATTGCAAGATGGAGTGTTAATGAGTTTGAATGTGAGTAGGAATATTGGTATATAAGATATGTTTGTAATACCATGCAAAGATACATTCAACGAATATAAGTGTGGAAGATTGGAAAATCTAGGTAGAATGAGTTCGTCCAAGACAAACACGAACATGCTAGGTTGACCGTTGGTTCGTCCAATCCATGGGCGAACTTCTTCACGTGCTATGTACTAGTTCGTCCTTCCCATGGGCGAACATGTGAAGGAAATGCTGAGTTTGTCCTTCCCATGGGCGAACATGTGAAGGAAATACTTGCTTCGTCCTTTGCATGGGCGAACATGTGAAGTCTGCAGCAGAAAACTAGGGTTTCACGTGAAGTGAATGCATGCGTATTGTGTAAGAAGCTAGTGTCAAGCTAGTGTTGCATGCATGGTAGAAAACCCTAGTGCCATGCAATGGTCTTGTCACATTTTAATTTTCAAAATACTTAAAGTAAATATTAAATTTACATACAATCTACTATAAATTCGTTTTTACATTCTACAAAATTTACACACAGTTTTACATT